GTATAAACTTTTTGATGTGCTGTTGTTTTCAATTTGCTAGTATTTTGTTGAGGATTTTTTGCATCTATATTCATCAGGAATATTGGTCTGTAGTTTTTGTTGTTGTTGTTGTGTCCTTGTCTGGTTTTGGTATCCGGGTGATACTGGTCCCATAGAATGAGTTAGGAAGAATTCCCTCCTCCTTGATTTTTTGGAATAGTTTCAGGAGGATTGGTTTTAGTTCTTTGTATGTTTGGTAGAATTTGTCTGTAAATCCATCTGGTCCTGGGCTATTTTTGTTTTTAGGAGTTTTTTTTTAAATTACTGATTCAATCTTGCTACTTGATATTGGTCTGTTCAGGAGGTCTATTTCTTCCTGGTTCAATCTCAGGAGATTGTGTGTTTCCAGAAATGTATTCATTTCCTCTAGGTTTTCTAGTTTGTGAGCATAAAGCTGTTCATAACAGACTCTGATGATCTTTTGTATTTCTGTGGTATCACTTGTAGTGTCTCCCTTTTCATTTTTGATTGTGTTTATCTGGAGCTTCTCTCTTCTTTTCCTGGTCTAGCTAGTGGTTTGTCAATTTTCTTTATGTTTTCAAAAAAACAACTTTTAGTTTTGTTGATTCTTTGTATCATTTTATTGGTCTCTATTTCATTTAGTTCTGCTCTGATCTTTGCTATTCCTTTTATTCTGCTAACTCAGGGTTCTTCTTATTTTTCCTGTTCCTTGAGGTGCCATAGGGGGTTATTAATTTGTGATCTTTCTACTTTATGGGCATTGAATACTATAAACTTCTCTCTTAGCATTGCTTTTGCTGTATCCCACAGGCTTTGGTATGCTGTACTTTTTTTCATTTCAAAAAAATTTTAAATTTCTGTCTTAATTTCTTTATTAACCTACTGATTGTTCAGGCTCTCTGCTCTTCTTTCACAAAGAATTGGAAGGGACTCTCTGGAATTTCCCTATCTACGAACGTTTAAATGCACTTAAGACCCCCTCCCTAGGGATCTCACAAAATAACCAGGAAAGATCAACCATCTGAGAAGAGATTGGGAGTCTTCACTGCACCTAGACAGACTTTTCGTCTAGTCTTCTGAGGGCAGCTTTAAGAGATTACCTGTTGGACTTTAGCTGTATAAGACAACTTTCGTTCCTGTGCAGTTCCACCTCTCACTTTCCTCCTGGGTCCATTCATCCTCCCTAATGATTTACTGTCCCTCAAAAGAATTGTCTACATCCCCCATCTCTTCCTTATGAAAAAGGGTATATAAACGTCTGTACCATGCTGGGTAATTGGGTAATCATAATGTGATTTTCCCCCATGCATGTTAATAAATCTGTATGCCTTTTCTCCTATTAATCTTCCTTTTGTCAGTTGATTTTTCAGTGATCCTTCATGGGGCAAAGGGAAAATTTTCACTTGGTCTCTATGGCTCCAGATCTATTTATGTAGTCTAGAAATAGAACTAGCTAGACTTTCTCCTGAACTCCAGGCTCATGCTCTAGCTTCGTTTTTTTTTTTTTTTTTTTTTTTTGGAGACAGTCTTGCTCTGTCACCCAGGCTGGAGTGCAGTGGCATGATCTCAGCTAACTGCAGCCTCCACCTCCTAGATTCAAGTGATTCTCCTGCCTCAGCCTCCTGAATAGCTGGGATTAACAGGCACATACCACCACACCTGGTTAATTTTTGTATTTTTAGTAGAGATGGGGTTTCACCACGTTGGCCATGCTGGTCTTGAACTCCTGACCTCAGGTAATCTACCTGCCTCGGCCTCCCAAAGTGCTGGGATTACAAGTGTGAGCCACCATAGAATTCTTGATATTATTGTTGACTTTTCTCTCTCTCACCTTCTACTCTATCTGCACAGGCACCAAACGTATGCTACCTTAGAACTAACTTGAGTATCTCACTCTGCTGTCTTCCTTTCTCTTCTCCCTTCTTCCCTTCCCTCAGAGCAGGACCTTATCCTCTTTTGTCATCGTAAGTTCCCTGATCCAACTGATCCCAATTAGGAATCCTTTCAAAAATAAAGTGGATTGGGGGCGTGCCCAAGATGGCCAAATAGGAACCGCTCCAGCCTCCAGCTCCCAGCGTGAGCGACACAGAAGACGGGTAATTTCTGCATTTTCAACTGAGGTACGGGGTTCGTCTCACTAGGGCGTGTCGGACAGTTGGCGCTGGTCCGTGGGTGCAGCCCGACCAGCGAGAGTGGAAGCAGAGCGAGGCATTGCCTCACCTGGGAAGTGCAAGCGGGAAGGGAATTCCTTTTCCTAGCCAAATGAAATTGAGACACACAACACCTGGAAAATCGGGTAACTCCCACCCTAATACAGTGCTTTACCAAGAGTCTTAGCAAACGGCACACCAGGAGACTATATTCCACACCTGGCCCAGAGGGTCCCACGCCCAGGGAGCCTCCCTCATTGCTAGCACAGCAGTCTGAGATCTAACTGCAAGGCGTCAGCAAGGCTGGGGGAGGGGCGCCCGCCATCACTGAGGTTTAAGTAGGTAAACAAAGCGGCTGGGAAGCTCCAGTTGGGTGGAGTCCACCACAGCTCAAGGAGGCTGGCCTGCCTCTGTAGACTCCTCCTCTGGGGACAGGGCATAGCTAAACAAAAAGCAGCAGAAACCTCAGCAGAGGTAAATGCCCCTGTCTGATAGCTTTGAAGAGAGCCGCGGATCTTCCAGCAGGGAGGTTGAGATCTGAGAACGGAAAGACTGCCTGCTCAAGTGGGTCCCTGACCCCTGAGTAGCCTAACTGAGAGATATCCCCCACTAGGTGCAGACCGACACCTCACACGGTGGGGTACACCTCTGAGATGAAGCTTCCAGAGCAAGAATCAGACAGCAACACTCACTGGAAAAAGAAATGAACAAAGCCTCCAAGAAATATGGGATTATGTGAAAAGACCAAAT